CAATACAGGATACTTTTTATGTCATTGGTAAAAATTATGTACATTTTCTCTGTCTTACATAGTAAACCATGCTTTGTAGTTATGCTTTTTTGGGTGTAGCAGGTAGTGTCCTAGGCTGAGCACTAGATAAACATTCTGATTTGCTGGAAGATTCAGTAAGAGCTAATCATATTTGTTATTTGGATTTGTGAATGAAAGCGTTTTCTTGATGTGGAGCATATGACAATGCTCAGATACTGCCTATTATCATTTGTGTTAGTTTTTACTGTAAATCAAGTATCTAAAAATATGCTCATTTCTGATCTGGCTATTGGGTTTCTTTCAATGGTCCATTTGAGTAATGTGGCTTTATAGGTTTCAGAATATCTCAGCTGTGCAGGGCAAAAAAAAAGAAAAGCAGAGACTTGGCTTCTGTGGATTTCCACTGCTAGGCAGTATCACCTCTGCCGGGGGAAAGAAAAAAATGAAAAAGAATGAAATAGAGAAAATTTTCTGGCTGAGAGTGCAGATCACTATGCTGGGGTCATCTCTAGGGCTTGCTATGTCATACTGAAATGCAACATCACAACTTGACACACTTCTGTTTTTTTCTTCCTTTGTGTCGTGGTTTAGGCTGATCCAGCAACTAAACTCCACACAGCCACTCTCTCACTCCTTCCCCAGTGAAGTAGAGAGGAGAAAAATAAAATAAAAGGACTGAGGGTCAAGACAAGAGCAGAGAAGGAGCACCCACCAACCATGGTCCTGGGCAAAGCAGACTCTGCTTGGGAATAAAGCAAAAGAATTTATTAACAGTTACTTGAAAGGATAAAGAGAAACAAAACCAGTTACTTGAGAGGATAAAAAGAAAACCAGCCCTTAAAACCAACACCTTCACCCCCTTTCATTTTCTTCCTGGCTCTACGAGGGGGCAGGGACTGGGGGAGTGCAGGTCAGTTCATCTCATGTTGTTACTGCCGCTCCTTTTCTTAAAGGAGGAGGAGTCCTTACACCCTTTTTCCCTTGATCCAGTGGATCCCCTACTCACAAGGAAAATCCACAAACTTCTCCAGCGTGAGTCCTACCCGCAGGATGCAATCCTTCCCCATCACTTTACTCCAGTGCGGGCTTTACCACAGTCTCGGATTCTTAGAGAGCTGTTGCCACTCACTCCGGCGTGGGTCGTCCCATGGACTTTAGATGCGTCTCTACCTTGTTGTGCATCCCAAGCTCCACGACTGTCCTCAGACCCAGGCATCTCTTCTCCAACGTGGCTTCTCCACGGGCTGCGAGTGGGTCTCTACTCCACCAAGTCCATCCTGGCTCCAGGGAGCCGCTGCCGTCTCGCCACCAGTTGCAGGGGAAACTCAGGTCCGGCACCTCGTCCTGTTCCATCTTCACTGACCCGGTGTCTGTGCGGCTGTTTCTCTCAGATCTCAGCCCTCCCTGGGTGAACTCGGCCCAGTGGGCACCCCGAGAGCGGGGCACTCCCCGAGTTCCCCAGGCAGCTGGCGCCGGCCCAGCGCGGGCAGCCCCCAGCCGGGAGCCGCAAAGCACCTTTTCCGGTTCTTTTGTCCCAACTTAAATAGGGCAATTCGCAGAGGTGCTGATTGGCTCAACCCCGAGGGGGATGGGAGTCCGAGCTGGTGGCCAGAACTGGGTCTGACCTGGTCCCAAAACCAGGGAAGTCACAGGGAGACAATCGCCTCTCCTGCCACCAGAACCCCTTTACATCAAACCATCACACTTTGTAACGATGCCTTAGAATGCTTTAAACATACTCCATTCTAGAGTGTTTGTCTCTGGAGTTGGTACTGGGAAGGCACTGGGGAAACCACAGTATAAAACAGCAACATCATGGAAGTTATAGCTCCCAGTGGAAAAAAAGAAGAGAATTGGTTGATATCAATCAAAGAAATGAATGTTGAAGATGAAAAGAAATTTATATTTAGGAACCCTCTAGAAGGAAAGCCACTGTAAATCTTTAACCTACTGGATTAGAAAAGACTCAGGGGCTTTCTTTTTTTTTTTTTCATGTGGACAGATTTTGAGAACAATCTTTTTGTTTGGAGTCTGCATTTGCAAGAAAATGAAAAATTCAGATGATTTTGGAGGAGTAGAGAGGTGAAATGAAATTTTACAAAGAAAGGTTACCAACCACACAGCATGGGATTTAACATTAGGTTTTCTCTGTGATGTTGACAGCAGTTCAAATATAACTCCTCTGTTCAATTGCAGCGAAGGTTACAGCAGAGTATATTTTCAAATTAAAAACAATACTAGCAGTAGCTGGTATTTTTTCCTAAATCCATAGACAATTTTTCAACAAAGCATCTCTCCAGCTGACAGTTTAGTTGGTTAATTTTTATCTTGTAGTCTCTTCTTTCCCCCCCCCCTCCCCGTTTTACTGCATATGGAAGTCAGATATCCAAGTCAAGACAGTCAAATTCCTTTCTGAAATTCATAAAAAAAACAGTCCAGTGACTTCATTCATCTCAAGATAAACACTTGAGATAATTCAGATCTTCTACAAGTATCCATTTCTTTCCATTTACTGAATGAGTAATCAATGTGATCAGTTCAGACTTGCACATGCAACTTTTAGATATCCAAAGCCAAGTGAGGTAACTCCTACCCCCTCTTCAAGATTAACATATCATGTGGTTTGCATGTTGTTGTACAAACAGCTGTACCTAAAGGTGCTTCGGCACTTCATAGGACAAACTTTTTAAAAGAATGATTTAAAGTTATTGCTACTGTTCGTAAAAATGATTTATGGCCATATGAAAATTTTGTTGTATTAAGACTGAACATGTCATTAATAAATATCAGTGTCAGTGCCTAGCCTGGTTACATATTCTAGACACATAGCAGCTGCCAGGAGATGCTTTAACAATCTATAAAATGTCATTAGCTGTGTCTTAGAAACATTTTAGTTGTCTAATAACCCTTTATTTAAGGAACCATCATAAAATGTGACTTTTTTCATTAAGCCCTCATTGAAACAAATATACTTGGCTAATTAAAATTAGCAGCAATAATAGTGAAAACTCATATTGATTCACTCAGGAGAGTGATTACGGATGTAGATATTTGCACCTTGGGGTCACTAGTGCAAATCCAACCAGAACCATAGAGATTTCAAATTACTCCAGATTAAATGTTTATTTGTTTATCTAATGAATTATGAATATAGGTTTTGCTCCTACTGAGATGTCCAAAACTCCCTCATACCCAGCACTAAAGAGGTAACAGCTGTCACCTGTGTTAGTGATCCTGTAAGGAGATAAAGGAAGCAGGACATATGTTTACACTAGACTGACTACTCCTCCCTTAGGGTCACGCTATCACCCTGCTACAGGTCAAATGTGAAGTATAGTATGCAAACAGGTCTGGAACTCCTAGGCAAATAATCTGAAAATATTATTTCAGGTCTTTAGTTAGCTCTAGTTGTAGCAGAGCTTTTCATTTTATACGTATATTTATTTTTTTAAAACTTACACTACTTTTTATTTAAAAAGATAAAATAGTTTTTCCCATTAGTGCCGGACTAGATCACATTGAGCTAATCTTGTCTTTGAGGAGGGAGATGAGTTAGAAGTTTTCTCAAGAGCCCTCCTACCCTTAATTACTTCAGAAATTACAGCATCATGGAAAAGAAATTTCACCAGCAAAAGTGAAAAGGCACCTTATTCCTGTAGGGCATAAACAGAAGCGTCAGAGACATCTCTTGAAATAAAGAATAGTTAAAAGGTCCATGGCAGAGGTGTGTGGACAGGTTGGCAGTGAAGAAGATTTTGTGCTGCAGATGTATATGGCACCACTCTATAGCATCAAATTAGCGATATCTCTGAGAATTGTGTCCAAACCAGGCA